CTACTTTTGACATTTGGAAAAGCACATACACCTCTACCCCGATATAACACGAATTTGGATATAATGCAGTAAAGCAGCGCTCGGGGGGGGGGAGGGGGAGGAGAGGCTGCGCACTCCGGCGGATCAAAGCAAGTTCGATATAACGCGGTTTCACCTATAAGATTTTTTGGCTCCCGAGGACAGCATTATATCGGGGTAGAGGTGTACCACTGACAGCAACTTTAGTGGTACTACCTGAACTACTACTACTACAAAAAAGTTACACAGGCTGGTGGGAATTAGTGATGCCCCATAAATGAATGGCAGCATCAGATAATGGTCTGACACAGTCACTCAACACACACAGAATTTCTCTGAACCGTATTGTTCCTGTGTTGGAGGCTAAGGGAGCCTACTTCTCATCAGTCAGCGAGTCAGCAGAATTCAATCAGCTCAATAGCAGGATGAAATAAAGCCGAGAAGTTTGTCAAGTTTTGCCAAATCATTTAAAGACACACTCAAATTGGAAACCCTGAATTATTAAGGGGAAAAACAAATTTAAGGAATTTAAACCCAAAATCATATTGAAGAGCAATATTGTGTTGCAAAAGATGCTCTTCAAATTACATAGGTCAATGCTAGTATTAATAGTGAATACAAAACTCAACATTTCTACTGGATACCAGTAGATTAGAGGACAAATGTTTTCAGTTTGGATATGTCTTAACAATAGCTCATTAAATGTTCATTGTGTGGTAGGACTCCTGTGCCAGTCAGGGAAGTAAAACTTATTAAACCAGTTTTGCTATGAGTTAATAAATGGACATCACTAAAATGACACTAATGAATTAGTCTCAGTTGAACAATTGCCAAGCTACAATTTCAGCATTTCTTTCAGCCTCCTGAAGCTCTGACGCTACAACCTTTATAGAAATACCAACATTTCCCATTATACTTGGCAATGCAGTTTTGCTTTAAGAACTACAATATAGTAAAACCACCTGAATGGAATCCTCAGCACCAATTTTGGTAATTCCACTGGCAACACTGATTTTGGTGCATCCTACCAGGCAGCAGGTCCCCACAGCCTTCCACTAAATCCTTAGATGAAGCTATTTTGCTGTCATTAGTGGAATTTATATTGTACTTCAAATGAAACACCTGTCCTCCCCACACACTGTAGTAAGATACTATTCTTGATAATTACTTATTGAAAATATATTCTGTAAGTTATAATTCCATGAGATTTTCAATTTTGTTTATGCACTATAGACCCGCTATATCTCTCTGATATTCTATGTTACCCACATGTAGTCTGGAAAGTATTTCCATCTGACATGGTTCGTCTGTGACCCAATTGTCTCAATTTTGATGAAGAGTCATTTGGCACTTTTTCAGATTCTTGTTTCAGAGGAAGAATAGGAGACTGATTCTTTAACATCGCAGGATCAGTGTCAAGCACCGGCTTTACCCTTTGTTCCCCCGTCTTAGTTGCCGAAGTTTCAGATGAAAAGGCCTCAATGGGAATGCCTGTGTCACAATCACTGGGAGTGATGCTTACAAACGCATCTTCACTGTCAGACTGAAGCAAGCATTTGGTGGAAAGGGAAGGCATAGAGAGAAGATTCACAGTATTTGCAGATGGACTTAGAGATGGAATATGGGTTTCCTCTTTTTTGGACTGCAATCTTGTAGGACTTGCACTCCTGCGAAACTTTGAAGCACGCTGAAATATTCTGTCCCGCTTCTTCTTCTCCTCCTTTGGCAACAGTTCGTCTGGAACCTGTGATTTGTTTAGCTCTCTAATATCCAAGCCCAAAGCTACAGATGCAAGGAGAACAGCACATCCATACAATATAGAGTCAGTTTTCTTTTTCTGCAGTGTTCTATTGAGACTGTTTGTAGGAGTCATTTGTGGAGTACTATTTGCAGAACTAGCAGAGGTTCCTTCTTCAAAGCTTTCATGTTCTATAGTGTTTTCTCCCTGATCATCCTTCCAAAGAGGTAGATCAATATAAGCCTGATTTGGCAACTTCATTTGCTTTGGTCTTTTTGCATCCAAGCCTTCAGGGAAAAGTCTCTGCTCTGTACAAACATCTATAATGTAAAAATATTGGAAGGTACTTACATATTGCAAAATAAGACACCTTTTTCTGGCAAACTTGTACATGTACCTTAGGATTCCTCATTATTAAATATATACACACATACATACACTGAGATGTTCTGTGTCCCCCATATACACACTTTTTGGAGACTCAGAGGAACACACAGGGATAACCGTTAAGTCAGATTCAAAATTTCCTCAAATCAAAATCTTTCCATATTCTTTGTGATAAATATCAAAGAAATCTCTAGTAGTCAAAACAATAAAAGCAATTTTCCAACAAATACACTATTTCAAAATGTAAATTCAAATAGCAGCATTTTCCCATGATAATTATAAAACTAGCTACATATTGTTAGTTAAATTTGAAAAAAATCTAAAAAACTGACCCTTACTTGTGAAAGTCTAAACACCAAACTGCCTCTGTATCTCTACTCATCACACAGCTAATACTGGGTGGACTATAAATACTTTTTTCCAAGACTATAAATACATATATTTTGCTACTTCCATTTTCCTTTTGTGCTGAAGAACTTAAATTGCAGCATATTTCTGTGAATAGATTATTGTGAGTAGTATACATGATTTTTACACACACACACACACACACACACACACACACACACACACACACACA